TACAGTGGTACTTTTGAACAAAGCCAAATCAAGCCTAGGACATACTTTTGTCTTTTTTTAATCAATAAGGTTAGTGCCTTATCCATTAGGCCACTGGAGCCATACTGATTCCTTTAGTCACATTATATTAATAGCAAAGATCCTAGCAATGGTTCAACTTATCTCTCAGCAATTGACATTGTTAATCATTGGGTAAAATGTTGATGGGATGTGAAATGTAACAGCTTTTACAGAGGTTTCTATTTTTGATCCAGCTCAATATTTCAGTCATTTACAGCACGGAAACTGGGCTTGATCGGTGTGTTTCATAAGGAGGACAAAGAACAGGTATTTACAGAATAAAGATTAATCTCATCCCAGGTGGGACGGATTCTCATAAACATAAACCTCTTGAAGGCAATACCCTATTCAGTCGGCTACAGAAACACATCACCCCTCATGCATTTGATATTTGCTGTGGATTCAGTTTAAATTCCACTTGTCCCTATGATCACTCACTTTATTTTCAGCAGCTTATCATCGATTTCAGACACTACAGCAATGACTAGTAGTAGTTGTGGGTAGATCTAATTTCCAGAAGCCATTTTTCTCAATGATATGCTTTACCCTCTTGTGAATATTACAGCTGACCACTAGGGTAAAGATCTCCTTAAGCAGCTGTTCTTTGACTTTGAAAAGCGCCACCACATTGATTAGGGATCTACTACTGGATATGTTCTCTCCCATTGTAGTTATGTGGGGGTCACCCTCATGAGTGAACATTAAAATGCTTTATTAAACATAATTATTTATAAGACATGGTGAGAGGGGACATTCTGCTGGAACCTCATTGACCCAGGCTCTGATTCTATGTCATTTGAAATCAGTGTGACAAAGCATTTTTGCACTTGCTCAGTAGCTATTTTTAAAGATATAATTAACCCTTAAGTTTCCATTCCTGCCCCCCCCACCCCCCCCAAAGTTCTTTCACAGCACCTCATTTAACCATGAATATTTAGCGTTTTACTCTGGCTTGCTACCCACCCCAGACCTCCAACATGTCTCAAACTGCAAGAAACTACAGTTTCGAAAACACAGCCCACTCCATCACGCAAACCAGCCTTCCATCGATTAATTCCATCTATACTTCTTGCTGCCTAGGGAAAGCAACCCACATAATCCCACCCCAGTTATACTCTCTTCAACCCTCTTCCATCGGGCAGAAGATATAAAAGTTTGAATACACGTATGAAAAGATTCAAGAAGAGCTTCTTCTGTGCTATTATCAGACTTTCGAATGGACCCCTCAAATGTTCATGTTGAGCTATCTCTCTGCACCTTCTCTGTGGCTGTAACACTATATTCTGCACTTTGTTCTGCTACCCTGATGCACTTTGTATGGTACTATCTGTATAGCACACAAAACAATACTTTTCACTGCATCTCCGTACGTGACAACAATAAATCAAACTCAATCTCCAACAGCATACTCAGATCCCTTGGAGGATGTGTAGGATGTAGGGGCTCCCTTGCTGTCATCAGGTAAGATGACGGCAAGTTCGGAGTGGAATGCTACTTTCTCTGCAGACCCAAACATTTATGCAACTCCACCAGAAAGTAGAATTGTATACCAATCAGTGAGGAAATAAACTTCACAACCAGAATCTATGAGCTCTTCCTATGTGCCACTGTAGTTTGAAGGCCTGATTGTAAATTGGGTTACTTCCTTATGCATTTTTAAGCCTTTAGTGTTGTACTTTTATTTACAGGAATGAATTTATTTATTTAACTGTCGTTGCAGTTGCTTCATTTTCTTAGTTAAACTATTGTGAAATAAGTAGACAATTTTAACTTTTTAAAAAAATCTTTAATAAATGGGTGGTTCCCCTCAAATAGGACGATAAGCAATTCTAGGACAGTGCCACCCAAATCCTAGAATACAAGATAAAAACCGAAAGAACTGCGGATGCTGTAAATCAGGAACAAAAACAAAGTTGCCGGAAAAGCTCAGCAGGTCTGGC